CACCGCCCCGCCGAGCCCGCCCCACAGGGTCCCTTCCCAACCCGCCTACCTGCTCCCGCTCCGCCCCCGACGCACGCCCCCGCCCCTGCCGAGCCCGCCCCGCCCCCGGCTCACACCCACGGCCCACTCCGCGCCCCGCCCCCGGCCCGGCCCCAGCGCGAAGCCTGCGCCGCCGGAAGTGGGCGTGCTCTGTGCGCAATGCCCGCCGGGAAACGTAGTTCCTAGCCTGGAACTCAGGCTGCCCAGCGCGGGTCCGCTCCACGCCCCGGACGGGTCGCTCCCGGTCCGAACTGGACCGCGGCCGCCCCCGCCGGGCCTGGCTGGAAACACAGGCCGCGCAGAGATACAGAACCACGCCCCAAACGCTTCTGGGAGTCGGAACTGGGTTCGGAGCGCGCAGCTGTTGCGGCTGGACGGACGGGGGCGGGGCTTACGTCGGGGGCGGGGCCTCAGGGCGGGAAAAATGGACGCGGGAGCGCGAGCCGCAGCGGGAGTCGGAGGCACTGCGGTCTTACCCGTTTGCTTCTTGCGGTGGCGTCACGGCCGACGGGCAGTGTCGCGGAGGGGAAGGGCCACACCGAGGCCTCTAGAGCCCGGAGGGTGATTCCGAGGGCGATGCGTGTGGGTGGGAGGAGGGAGGTGGTTGTGGGATTGGTTTGGGGAGCCGCCCTCACCTTCTCCCCGGCTACCCGGCCTCCCCATCCTCCAGACCGCTATTCCGCATTCTGGAAGTCGTATGTGTAGGTGCTGGGTCTGAACAGTCTCCCCTCAAACTTCAGGCCGGGGCGGCTCCTTTCTGTCATTCGCTTGTCATCGCCTCAGAGAGGGCTGACCAGCGTCCCAGTTAAAAATGCCACCCCTCGTCACCTTTTAAAATCGCCTTCCTAACGCGAATCATGTTCTCAGGTTAGCTGATGTTTTTATTCTTACACACGTTTGGGGCCGGCCTCTCCCAGGGGCCGTATCAGAGTTGAGAGCTTGGCCCCTGGAGCTGAGGGCTTTGTTACGTCAGCGCATGACCTAACAACGGCACAGGCAGATCACACCGGGACCCCAGATCTCCTGACTCTTGAATTGGTGTTGCCAGTCTCATGGCCCCAGTGGTGGAATCAAGATTTCTGTCTCCGAATTCAAGGGTGACTCCATTCACAAGCCGCAGGAAGGACAAGGCCAGCATTTCCCCTCAAAGCGTTTCAATCTCATAGAGAAGGATCAGATTCAGAGTTGGATTGACCCCGCCCCTTAGTAGCTGTGGCAGACACTGCTAGCTGCCTCTTCAGTATCTGCTGTGCGCTCCTTCCACACTGATGGGACACTGACGTTCTTCAGGTGGCCATCCACTCAGATTAAAATGCTGACCTCCCCAGTCCCCCTTGCAAGGAACAGCGGGTCCTAATGAAGGAGATGTAAATACAAATTGCTGGGAGGATCGGTGGATGGGTGGAGACGAACTTGGCATGTACCTTTGCCCTATGGCCCATCTCACACAACCTTCTTCCTGCTTGGAGGTGACACAGGATGTCAGAAGGTAAAGCAACCATTTTGACACCATGAGGATGAGTTATGCTAAAGATAGCCCAAGAGGGAAAAAAAGAGAAGAAATGAATAAATTGTGTTAGGAATGAAAAAGCAGACATAATCACAGAGTAGAGATTTTTAAAATCTTACAAATACTATCACTGTTATGTCAGTATATTTTAAAACATATCAGTGGCTTACAGTAAAGGAGATTTACTAAAACTGAAGAATAGGAAATCATTAAATAAATTATGAGGCTTTTCCATGAACACCAAGCAATAGATAATCCCCACCCTATAAAACCATATTAGAGAAGGAAAAAAACTAGTTAACCATGATACCAAAATTGGACAAGGACCATAGGGAAAAGATTTAAGCCAATCTTCAATGACAACAAGTCAAATCCAGCAATACCTATAAAAAATAAGTTGAAGGAAGGCATGTCAGAATACTCTTATGGGCAAATAGCAGAAATCATTGATTTCTAGCCTAAATAACAAATGCATTCATCACTGGAAGTTCAGAGGCAAGATAAGCTCCAGGTTTCTCAATGTCAATCAGAGACTGAAATTCTTTTCATCTCTGTGCTCTGTCATTCCCAGCAATGGACACATCCCTCATGGTCACACAACAGTGGTTAACTAGATATGGCAGAGCAGGCAAATTATCCCTAGTATCCATTCTCATCTCCCTTCTAATAGACTCCCCTCCCCATGGGGAAGGGCACATAGCTGCCCAGTTAGACTACATTTTCCAGGATCCTTTGCAACTAGGTAGGTCATGTGACTAATTTCTTCTAAAACATGGACTGTGATCAGAAGTGGTGTTAGCAACTCTAATGTCCCTTCTTTAAAAGCAAAACAGTTGACTGCCATGTTCTCCTTTTCTGTCCTCTCATGATCTGTAACGTGGAGACATCATCCATGTGGATGAGGATAACATCCTAAGTTGCTGGAGAAATAGCATAGAAGGAATGTATGTCCTCTGATGACATCATGGAGTAGAGCTGCCTTCTTGCCATGACCTACCTATCTACCCACCTGTGGGCTATTACCTGAGAAAACAATGAAATTGCATATTATGTCAGTATTGACAGTGTTGACAATATTTTTTGTCTTTTTCTTATACCAGCATGGCCCATATCCTATTACAGGGGGTTTTATGCTTCCATGTTCATATCTAGCAGAGAAGAGATAGAAGCACACTGAAGAATTATGAAGAAAAATTTTTTGATATACCTACATTTTAAAAAAGCTACAAGAATCACTTCATTATAAAGTTTGGCTGCAGCGAGAAGATGAAAAATAAAATATCTCACCTTAACCACCACCCTGTGCTTTTTTTAAAAACCAAAAATTATAGTTCTTTTAAAAAAAAAACACCACCAACAAAAGATAAATATTCTCCCTGCTGAATCATTTACATTAAACTGATACAATGGTGAACTGATTGAACTATTAGTCTTCACATTTACCATTGTTTTATGGGTTTAAAACATGTTTTATTAATTTTAAAGAAATCCAGTATAAAGAGTTATGTGTACTTCACAAGGCAAAAAGATCTACAGCACAAAGAAAGGATATATTTTTGGATTTTAGTTATTTAACAAATAGAATGTACAATATAGTGACATTCTTGATTTGGGAAATAATATTTAGTCCAATGAATGTAGTTATTCATGCAATCTACTGATTAAAAATATGAATTTTCTATAGAATCATAATTTCTGATTTCATATTTTCCTTCTGAGGGGAATTTTATGTTTTATGTCTTAGGGTTTTAACCATATCATGATTGCGTCCACATGGGCACAACCCCACCCCTAGACCAGGAACAATCACTTGGTAAAAGCCTTGTTCAAATTGGCATAGACCAAGTGACAGTTTACTACTGTTCCTGGGGATTGGGTCAATTTGGTTTTATCATTTGAGGATGGAAAAGATACCTGAGCCCAAGTTGAGTTTTGTTAGGAAAGACAAAGAGGAGACTGGAGGCCAGACAGACAACCAACAGCACACACGTCCAAGAATATATCACAGGAGTGCCCAGGTGGGAAGTCTGTTAATGTAATGCACCACCATTAATAAATAAAAGGTAAAAAAAAATCCCTGAATTATGACTATAGATGAGGAAAAAGCATCTGATAAAATCGAATACACACCTGTGACTTAAAAAAAGAGACTTAGCAAACTAGGAATGGTGGAGAACATCCTTACCTTAGAATAAAATGATTATAAACCTCAAATACTATTATTCATCTTTGGTTAAAATGGCTTTTCAACATCGGGCTGGAAAGTAAAGGTTTCCATAGGTAGTTGTGCAAATGGAAATTAGTGGCATAGACTTTGTCTTTTATTGTAAATAATAGTTCCTCATCACTTGCTATAAATAGAAAATGGAACAAAAAGAGCCTCAGCCCAAGAGGGGGATTCTCACTTAGGTTAGGTTTTTATGAACCTACTTGAAAGGCAATAGAGTGATAAATTGGACTTCATCAAATTGAGATACATAGTATATGAAATGAAAAATTCACTGGGCTTAAAAGCAGAATTGAAAATTAAAGAAGTCTCAGTGAACTTGAAGAGAGATCAATGGAAATTATCCAATCTGAAGCACAGAGGAAGAAAGATTGGGGGGAAAAAACCCAGTGCCTAAGTGGAATGAACAGTTAAAATTTAAAATACAATTCCATTTTCAATCGCTTTTTTTAAAAACCCCTGAAGTGTTTAGCTGTAAAGCAAATAAAACATGCTGAAAATTAGAAAAACGCTGATACAATTTTAATCCATTCTTGATAAATGTGCCACAAAGTGAAAGGCTGTTGAAATGAAAAAAGATTTCCACTATATTTAATTTTAAAAAGCTGATGGTTTTCCATCCCAAATACTGATTTTTTACAGATATATCAATTGAACAATGAACAAAAGTTTACATGAGTAAAACCAGCAAATTGAAAGCAAAAAAAAAAAAAATAGTTCGTATATAAAATGTAATGAAGATGAAGCATTCTAGCTAAAGGGGAAACAGAAGACTTGTAAGAAAGTCCTTTTGTCATAAAGAGATTTCCTCTTGCTGCTCCTCCTCCTCTCAATTTTCCAGACTTTTAGGGGGCTTGTGCTTATCTTGCACGCAAACTCTATTTAAAAGTAAAGTCATGTCACAGAAAAACACCTTTAGGTAAAATAAAGGATAAACACAAAGTGACACAAACATATTTCTTGTTTGCTGTTGACACGCAAAGAAAAATATTTGGGCTCACTCATACATGGCATGCAATTCACAACTGTCCGACATGATAGCCTCTAACTAGGCACTGTTGCCATGAATAAATTAGTGAGTGTAGTAAATTTATCTATACTGTCATTTTCCCCCTTGGTTTGATATCAGAGTTGACTTAGCCCAATGAAAGAAGTGGAATGTTTTAAATTTTTTTCTTTTCTTTCTTTCTTTCTTCTTTTTTTTTTTTTTTGTTGAGACAGAGTCTCACTCTTTTGCCTTGGCTAGAGTGCCGTGGCATCAGCCTAGCTCACAGCAACCTCAAACTCCTGGGCTCAAGCAATCCTACTGCCTCAGCCTCCCGAGTAGCTGGAACTACAGGCATGCACCACCATGCCCGGCTAATTTTTTTTTCTGTATATTTTTAGTTGTCCAGCTAATTTGTTTTTGTTTTTTTAGTAGAGACAGGGTCTCACTATTGCTCAGGCTGGTCTCAAACTCCAGAGCTCAAACGATCCACCTACCTCAGCTTCCCAGAGTGCTAGGATTACAGGTATGAGCCACCACACTCAGCCTAAATCTTTTTTCCATACTCCAGAACAGCTTAAATTAGTGTATCCTTGGAAGGTTAGAATTAATGTGTGAACCCATATCTTGAAATAGGGCTAGATTATTGAAGTTCTGTATTTCTTCAGTTAAAGATTAGTTTGGTTTTTTTTTTTTTTTTGCCTTGACTAAATATGGTCTTACATAAATTCTCCCAAGCAAATTCTAAATCTTTTGTTCCAGTGTCGTCCAGAGTTCTAGCCACTTCCTAAAACATGTTCTGTGTATCAGGTCACCAACAAGAGAACACAGCCTCAGAGTCATAGGAGAGCCACTACATTGTGTTTTTAATGATATTAAGCGTTGAACATATACACAGGCTAATCATCATCCACCTTAAGATACTGTTTCATTTCCAGAATTATGATCACCTAGTACTAATATACTGCTTTCCAGACTTCACTGTTTAAAAACATAATTTAAGTCAACTCTGAATAATACTGATATAACATTTACCAAGCATTTAGTACGGGTCAGTCATTTTGCTCCACATTTTATGTGCATCAAGCATTTTAACAAGAGTTTTAAGAGAATGATATAATTAAATTTTCATTTTTGAAAGATCACTGTGGCTGTAATGTGAAGAATGAACTTGAAGGGAACAAAAGAGGATGCATGAGAACAATTTTAGAGGATCAAAATAGTTCAGATGAAATGACTGTGTGTTCTGAACTAGGGCATGGAAAGAAACGGATGAATTCAAAAACTACTTAGCAGAAATATCCACAGGGCATAGTGACATAGGAGGTGAGGAAGAGCTGGATGCCAGAGATGAACTCAGTCATGATAAGCAAGGTGTGCATTTTGCCTGAAGACGTTTCCACATTCCTTACATTTTAAAGATCTCTCTGCAGTATGAATTCTCCCATTTAAAGTATCCAGTCTGAGGCCTAGGCAGGTAGATTGCATGAGCTCAGGAGTTTGAAATCAGCCTGAGTAAGAGCAAGACCCTGTCTCTACAAAAAATAGAAAAATTAGCTGGGCATGGTAGCGTGCGCCTGTAGTCCCAGCTACTCAAGAGGCTAAGCCAGAGAATCACTGGAGCCCAGGAGCTTGAGGCTACAGTGAACTATGATAAAGTATCCAGTCTGGATGAAGGTTTTTCTATATTCCTTACATTCATACAGTTTTTATTCAGAATGGGTTCTCTGATGAACAGTAAGGAATAGCTAAAAGTTTTGACACATGCAGTACATTCTTAACGTTCCTCTCTAGTATGACTTCTTTGATGATAAATAAGGGATAACTTTCTTCTGAATGCCTTACCACATTCAAAACATTGATAGGGCTTTTGGCCAGTGTGAAGTCTTTGATGCTGAGTGCGGGATGAGCTGTCACTGAAAGCCTTACCACATTCAGTACATTTATAGGGTTTCTCTCCAGTATGAACTCTTTGATGTTGAATAAGGTTGGAAGTCTGGCTAAAGGCTTTCCCACATTCACTACACTCATAAGGTTTCTCTCCTGTATGAGTTTTCTGATGTTGGGCAAGGTGTGACTTCTGTTTGAAAGCTTTTCCACATTCCTGACAGTCATAAGGCTTTTCTCCAGTATGAATTCTCTGATGTGTAGCCAGCTGTGAACTGATTCTAAACGCTTTTCCACATTCTTTACATTCGTAAGGTTTTTCGCCAGTATGAATTCTCAAATGACTAGCGAGGTGTATATTCTGCCTGAAGGCTTTCCCACATTCCTTACATTCGTAAGGTTTCTCTCCAGAATGTACCCTTTGATGTTGAGTGAGTGACCCATGATGGCTAAAGTCTTTCCCACAAACATCACATTCATAAGGTTTCTCTCCTGTGTGAATTCTCTGATGTACAGTACGGGATGAACCAGAGCTGAAGGTTTTTCCACATACGTTACATTTGTAGGGTTTCTCCCCAGTATGAATTCTCCTATGCAGAATAAGTCCTATGTGAACGCTGAAGGCCTTCCCACAATCGCTGCAATTAAAAGGCTTCTCTCCAGTATGGTAACTCCTCCAGTGACGAATAAGAGATAAGTTATACCGAAAGTCTTTCCCACATTCAATACATTCATAGGGTCTTTTGCCAGTGTGACATCTCTGATGTCGAGCAAAAGATGAGCCATCACTGAAGGCTTTGCCACATTCCTTACATTCATAGGGTTTCTCTCCAGTATGAATTCTCTGATGCTGAGCAAGATGTGCAGGCTGTCTGAAGGCTTTTCTACATTCCTTACATTTATATGGTTTTTCTCCAGTATGAATTCTTTGATGTTGAATAAGATGCTCACTTTGTTTGAAGGATTTCCTACATTCTTTACATTCAAAGAGTTTCTCCCCGGTATGTGTTCTACAATGTTGAGCAAGATGTGGCCTCTGCTTGAAGGCTTTTCCACATTCTTTACATTCATATGGTTTTTCACCAGTATGAATTCTATGATGAACAGCAAGGGATGAGCTGTGAGTGAAGGTTTTGTCACATTCATTACATTTAAAAAGTTTCTTTGATACATAGACCTTCTTGTGTGTTATTACCACAGACTTTTTGGAGAAGCTTTTTTTTTCTAACTTGTGATTATAAACACTCTCTTCTACATTGTCCAGATGGACAAGTTTCCCAAATTTGGTGTATTTGTGGTCTGTTTTCTTAGTGAGGGTTTTTTTATGAGTGACTGTTTCTGTCCTTCTAAATGTCTCTTGACTTCCCATCTGTCTCTCAAAAAGGTCTTCCCATTTCCAATTTTCTCCAAAAGTGGAACACTCAAGTCCATAGCTTGTAATTCTCTCTATGAATGCATCATTGTACATGAAGTGCTTCAGAGACGATTCTTGTGTCTCATATATAGATTGCCAATCTGAAAGATATCAAAAAAAGCAAATGTTTCCTTTATTACAAGCTATAACAAAGGAGATAAAGTGAAAAGGGTAATTCAAAAATATTTAATGAATCTCACAAAATGTATCATGTACAGACATGGAAAACATGCAAGGAGACTCCAGAGAATGAGAACTCATGAAGGAATATGGAAAGGTGATTAAGAAAACTAAACGTAGGACAATGAGGTCCTGGAGAAGTAGTGGAAATGAATATATTTTATACCTACATTAATAGACTACAAACTAAGCTCCTTTCTTCTACTCTCTCCTACTTCGAATTGGTTTGCATATAGTTAGTATAATGTTTAAATACCAATATCATCATATCACTACTGCTGCTCAAGTCTCTAGAGATCCCCAATGTCCACGCACCTTAAACCTATGACTACTTTTGGGACTTAGGTGAAATCCTATTGTTATCTTTACATAATCAGAAAATGGTGTTCCTATGAAACCATCCACATATTTCAATACATTGAACTCTTCATTTCTTACTGGTCTCTGAACTTCAGTCTGCGTATCAAGGGATTTTTTTCCATTCATCTTATTACTATGAAAAGTCTAGGAAAAGTGTCAATTCTCTCTCTCTCGTATTTTTTTTTTTTTGAGACAGAGTCTTGCTCTGTCACCTGGGTAGAGTGCAGTGGCATCATAATACCTCACTGCAACTTCAAACTCCTGGGCTCAAGCGATCCTCCTACCTCAGCCTCCTAGGTAGCTGGGACTACAGGCTCACAACACTGTGGCTAATTTTTCTATTTTTAGTAGAGACGGAGTCTGGCTCTTGCTCAGGCTCATCTTGAACTCCTGAGCTCAAGCTATCCTCCCACCGTGACCTCCCAGAGTGCTGGGACTACAGGCGTGAGCCACCGTGCCTGGCCGTAAGTGTCAATTCTTTTTTTTTTTAATTCTGCATATTATGGAGGTACAAATGTTTAGGTTACGTACGTTGCCCTTGCCCCTCTCTCCCGAGTCAGAGCTTCAAGTGTGTCCATTACCCAGACGGTGCGCATCGCACTCATTATGTATGTATATACCCATCCCCTCTTCCCCCCTCCCATCTGCTTGACACCCGATAAATGTTAATCCTATATGTGCACTTAGGTGTCTATCAGTGAAACCAATTTGATGGTGAGTACAGGTGGTGCTTATTTTTCCATTCTTGGGATACTTCACTTAGTAGAATGGGTTCCAGCTCTATCCAGGATAATACAAGAGGT